AGTAGAAGCCGCACACTTTTACCCCCGGCCCACCCATGAAGCGTGCCACTTGCTCCTACTTCACCTCTGCCTATCATAAAGCAGAGCAGTTAGAAAGCTTTTGTTGACGAAGTTTTTTTGGGAGTGTCAGACATGCTCCAGTCCAGAACCGGAGGGTATCTTTAATACGACTGGCTATAGAGCTACTTGCGGGGCTACTAGTCTTTGGAATTACAAGTCAGTATATTTATCCTCACAGGCAAGCATAACAGCCACTAATTAACCCAAGAGGGACACAGGAATTGCTTGGCCTAGGCACAAGCCACCCTATTCTGACCCATGGAGTGGGAAGCGCGCCACTTGCCACTACTTCATCCCCCGCCAATGAAGCATTAGAAAATTAAAAAACTCTCATGGTAACTAAACCCTTTTTGAATGGGGCAGACATCCCACTCAAGCCCACAACACCAGGTGCGGCTTCACTCTATCGATTTACAAGCCGGTGTATTTATACTCAAAGGCAAGCCGTAGAGCAACTGCCTATCCAAAAGGACTGGAAGAGTCGACAGGTAAGCTGCGCCGAATACCACTACACCGCCTTCGCGGAACACTAGATCAAAACTGCTCTAATTTCTACCTACCTTGAATGATGGATCCAGGTACACTTCTTTGGCTAAGAACCTGGATCTATTCTTCTGAGCTATGTACTTTCCAATTTCCATCACAGCTTCCTCATCAATTTTCAGGAGAAGCGATCTGTTATTCCTGGCAATAAAAAAGCAGATAAAACTGAAATATCAATCATTCAATCAAAGAATGAAAACAAAAAGAACCTCGACCACTCGGAGTTGCACAGTCCAGTCATGGCTTCTAACACTTCTGCTTCTTGGATTCCAGTCTCCCTTGCAAGGTCTGTAAACAAGAGCAAAAAAGGGCATAGAGTTGTCGAGCAGCAACAGCAGGAAGCAGAAAGTCACCTCCAATATCCAAGCGCATATTCTCCCAGCCGAACAGCTGTACTTTGGTGTAAATGAGGTGAAGTAGCTTATCGCACCAATACTTCTTGTAAACTTGACCACCTCGAACCGAAAACGGTCGCTCGGGTCCTCCTGGTAGTCCACCCAAACGGGACAGTAGGTAACATGAAATAAGGTCACCCTTTACTTTTTTTTGGCAGATAATGAAATCTAGAGGCACTCCAGTTAGTTTCTGTTCCAATCAAAATAAAATTCTATGAACGGTACCTTGTTTGCAATTGCAAAAAGAGTTGTTAAGAAAGGTCTTTATTATAGAGCCTCACAAATCGACTTTTTCATCTTCTTTACGGACCTGAAGATGACTCGAAACGTTCCCCCACCCCCACCCCATTCTCCCTTCCGCCAACCATAAAACACTGAAACGTCTTCTTTTGAGCGCTTCCGACGCTCCAAGAACACACCCTAATGACCGAAAGTGCTAAACTCACGGAAAATGGGCTCGCAAAAAAAGACACAGTCCGAAGACATCTTGGAGATTACCTGCGCATTGTGTTCACCATGAGGCGGAGGTGGGTAGTGGCAAAAGACACACCTATCACGCGCACGATTGGGTGATCAAATCTAGATCGCCCCCTGCCCAGGCCAACGAAGCCATCTACCCTCTGGGAAGGCCAGTTTATTACCAGATTTGTCTGGAAGGAAGGGGGGGGGAGGATAAGAACACTGACTTGTACATCGGCTGGCCCCGCAAGTCATTGTATAGGCCACATCGCATTCAATAAGCCACTACGATTCTGAATGGAAGTAGAATGCGTGTGCATCCCAAATGGATGGATCAGCGACAGACTTTACTATGTGTTCACAGAAATGAAGCTTTTGATAAAAAAAAACAACAAGGTGAACTGATGGCTCACTGAAATCCACGATGAAAGTACCGTATCCTTTCCCTTGATAACAAGGAAACACACAAAAGCATGAAAGATTATGATTGAAGAACTGCCTCTGCTGAAATAAGAAAGTAGTTTACGAACGTACCAATACCAAGGGAGATAAGCCAAGTTTCCTGGCAAGATCAGTAAAAAGGAGGAATCATTCTGTTAAGTGGTGCAAAGGAATAGGCGTGGTCTTTAAGAGTGGGCAGAGATAGTGAGACAGGTATTGGTTTGTTTCTCTCAGTTGGACCAACTATTCCGTAACGCAGGCTTGTGCGGTGGAACACAGGAAGTGCGGAGATACTGAAGTCCAGGGTATGGCATAGTGATAAATGAAATGGCGGTGCAGTACGACTACCACCCGAACAACCTCGCTGGTACGAACTCGCTTGCCAGCCCTACTTAGAATCTTCCGGAGTCTCTCAACTTCCACATTTCTTTTCCGTTTTTCTCGAAAACTTTCCAGTCTTTCCCCGAAAACTGGTGTCGAGAGGGGGTAAGCCCATCAAAAATAAAGTATTGGTTTTATCTTCAGGAATAGCATTTGCATGGTAGCGGCAACGGTAACTAGGGCGAGGGTGAGGGGTACGTAGCAAGATGTTGTTAGTGTGCAACCTAATAAGCTCAAAAATTGCAGCAGTGCGCCTACGACCTTTATCGAACAAATAAATTAATTAATTCGAGCCACCTCTTCGGCTAGCCTCGCCGCGATGCGGACACAACATCAGTAATGTTTCGTCCCAAAAGGCAAGGAACTCATGGAACTTACGCACGTCGCAATTCACAAAGAATAAGGCTATCTCACGAGAACTTCAAAATTTTGTGAATTCTCAAATAAAGAAGATGGAAATACAAACCCTGCTGAAATAGCCTATAGGTCGGAACTTTCCATCGAAGAAATCGGTCACGATATAGAAATCAAAGGGTTCCACATCCATAAAAATCACCTGAAAAAAATATCATCTTATACAGACACAACAAGTCATTCGACTGCCTGCACTGGTGCGACGCGGCGGCGTTTGCGGGACCGTGAGTTGATTTATCCGATTGCTTGATTTCTATTCATTATTTTTTTTCTATTACGTTGCTTTTTTTTGATTACTGTGTGTCATATTCGTGTTTTACTGATATTTTGTTTCTCCTTTGAGTTCAATCACTTCCTTCCCCTGGTCCCTACAACTGGTGGGTACGCTTTCGTGCCGTTTATTTATTGATTATTGATTCAGTTCTATTGACTATTGAGGATCAAATATGGCGAGGATCACCCGTAGAAAAGCGAACACCCCTGATGTTGGAGAAAGTATCCCTTTACCTACTAGGCACGGAGTAAGTCAGGAGTGCACGATGGTTAATGAAGACTTTGACAAACTCTCTGTAAGTGAGCTTTTGAGTAGTATCATTGAGACTAATAAGGATCCCATCATTGGCAAGATGCTCATGGCCCTCTCTGATAAAATTTCAAATAGTTTTTCTGATTACTTTGAGCGGGAAAAACGTTCACGAAGCATTGTAATTGCCGGGGTGGAGGAAAGCAAAAGGGATCTAGCTCCGTCGGCAAGGCAAAATGAACTGGAAACCACGGTTGCGCGCATTTTGGACGCCTTAGACGTGGAATGTAGGCCTTGCGAAGTTTTCCGTATGGGGAAGCTGGACCCCATGAAACCTAGGTTAGTGAAGGTTGTGCTCCCGACGGTCACTCACTGGCGGAGAGCATTGGGCAATGCCAAGTGTCTTCGTCAGTCAGGGTTCTCAAATATTTTTGTTAGAAAGAGCATGACCCTTGAAGAGAGAAAGCAAGATTTCGAACTCAGGAGGTTAGCTAGAGAAAAGAATGGAGGCAGTAGCAGTCGGGACTGGGTAGTCTTCCGTGGTCAAGTCAAACACGTCTCGGAATTACCCAGAAGGAACTCGGGAAACGCTTAGGCCCGCATGGCCGGCAAATACCCCTCTCTTGTTTTCTATTCAATGCACGCAGCATTCTAAATAAGATTGACCATCTTCAAGTCTTTATAACTGAAAGGAAGCCGGATTTGATCTTCATAACAGAAACATGGCTCAACTCGAAGGTAAACAATTCCGAAATTTTAGGTATTGTTCCCTATGATGTGTTCCGTCGGGACAGGGTCAGGTGTAAGGGTGGAGGCGTTTGTTGTGTCTTTAGGAGCCACCTCTCCCTGCAGCTTGTGCCCATTAATTACTCTATGAGTGCTGATGTCCTATGTTTCGAGTTAATTAGCGCAACAGATCTGTCCTGCATCAGATTCATTGTTGTTTACCGCCCCCCTAACTCTTCCAAAAAGGATGATGAAGACCTAGTCCATCTGTTGTCCTCTTTAGTTTCTTCCGAACAGGACATTGTTATTCTAGGTGATTTTAATCTTAAGGTTGATTGGTCTCATTCTTTAGCTTCAGATGCAGTTTCAAGATGTTTTTTGAATTTCTTTTGCAGGCTGGCTTTAGGCAAATTGTGAGTGAGCCCACCCACTCTGGGAACATTCTTGACGTGATTTTTATTTCCAGGCCCATAGTGGATGGTGTTAGAGTCCTTCCCCCCCTTGCCACGTCTGATCACTCTATGCTTTCTTTTTCGGTGGATGCTTCCCTCCCTCCCTCGCAAGTGCCTCTACCCAAACCTGACTTTCTCCGGACGGATTACACAGCCTTAGGTCGCAGCCTTAGTGAAGTTGAACTGGGTACGGGTTTTTGACGGCTATACTTCTGCGTCTGATTTATATCGCAGGTTCTGCTCCGTTGTTTACAGGAGTTTATCTTCAACTGTTCCTTTTCGTTATCCACGATCATCCTGGGTCACGTTCCCCACTCACATTAAGAATTTAATGTCCCAGAAGCAACGTCTTTTTGAGTGTTCATCAAATCCACTATGCAATCGACTCTATAAAAAAGTATGTCTTGACCTAAACCGTCACCTGAAAAAGTTTCGGGCATCCAGGGAGGGGCAATTAGCATCTCGGTCATTGAAGCATCTTTTTCTCTATGTCAATAACAAGATCAAGTCTAATTCACGCTTGCCGTCTATTGTTGATGGAAATGGTTGCTTTTGCCACAGTGATGGTAGTAAAGCGGTCGCTTTGGGTGATTATTTTGCTACCTCCTTCTCAAGTCAGAGTAGTTCTTATACAGGGCTACACTGCAGTGAGCTTGATTTCCATTACACATGTGATAACATCTATTTTCATCCTTCCGATGTTTATGAGCTGCTCAAACACCTCAAACCCTCGACTTCTGAACCCTATGATGGAATCCCACCAATTGTCTTCCGTAAGTGCGCCTCATCGTTATCTGGACCTTTGGCGCATATTTTCAACGTATCCTTCATGATGGCTGAGGTTCCTGAGCTTTGGAAAGAAGCATTGGTCACCGCTATTCCAAAGGTCTTGCACGCTCAGTCTGTCGGTGATTTCAGACCTATTAGTCTCACTTCTACACCAGCCAAAGTAATGGAGAAGATTATAAGAGGAAAACTGTTGTCCTGGTGTCGCAGATTCAGAATCATTCCACCGGAACAACATGGGTTCCTTCCCGGGGCTAGTACGACTACCAACCTTGTCGAGAGTGTATTTGAC